AGGAGCCCTAATACATGGCATAAACACAATAGGAACCATAAGTAACAATGCACAAGCACCAGAAGAGAGACTAGATAAATGGGAGCTCCTAAAAATCAAACACTTACGCTCATCAAAAGGCTTCACCAAAAGAGTAAAAAGACAACCTACAGACTGGGAAAAAATTTTTGGCTATGACAAATCAGATCAGTGTCTACTCTTTAAAATCTAAAAGATACTGCAAAACCTCAACAACAAAAAGACAAATAACCCAACTAGCAATCACTGATCTATTCTCCATTTTTATACTTTCGCCATTTCAAGACTGTTATATGAATGGAAACATACAATACTTAACCTTTGGAGTTTGGCTTTTTTTCACTCAACATAATGTCCTAAAGATCCATTCAAGACGTTGTGTGTATCAATAGTGTGGTTTCTTTTGGTTTGTTTGTTTTGTTTAAGTTGCTGAGAAATATTCCACTGGATGGATATACTACAGTTTAACTTTTCACCTGCTGAAGGACATTTGGTTTGTCTACAGCTTCGGGCTATTATAAATAAAGCTGTGATGAACATTTGTGTGTAGTTTTTGTGTGAACGTAAGTTTTCTTTTCACTAGAATAAATGCCTAAGGGTGTAATGGCTAGGTTATAAGGTAAGTGTACCTATAACTTTTTAAGAAACTGCAAGATGGTTTTCCAGAGTGGCTGTACCATTTTACTTTCCCATTGGCAAAGTATGAAGATCCAATTTCTCCAAATTCTAGCCAACATTTTAAACTATTAGTATTTTTTTAATTTAGCCATTCTAAGAGGTTTGTAGTGGTATATCATCATTTTCTCTAATGGCTAGCAATGCTAGATATCTTTTCACATGTTTATTTGCCATTCATATATCTGCTTTGGTGAAGTGTCTGTTCGAGTCTTTTGCCCTGGTTAAATCCAACTCTCCAGTCACTCCAAACCTATACTCGGGAAGCTGGGTGTGACTGGAGAACACACAACTATGCTAAATAGTTTCACTTTAAGTTGATGACCACAAACATCATGCGGCCTCTTAGCTCTGCCCAGCAATCATTTAAGTTTTCCATAATGACCCTGAAACACTTCATACTATCACCTCTCTCCTCAAACCTCCCCACTCACTCTTTACTCGCTCTCAGAAAGTGCTGTTGCTGAGAATTTCCCGGTCTTTTCACACCAAATCTACATGCCAACCTGCCTCTGAGCCCATTTGTTCTGCCATGGGCTCTGCGCAGGCCATTAAAAAAAAGAAAAACCCATTGCCATCAAGTCGATTCCAACTCTTAGTGACCCTGTAGAACAGAGTAGACTGCCCCATAGGGTTTCCAAGGCTTTAAATCTTTATGGAAGCAGACTGCCACATCTTTCGACTGTGGAGCAGCTAGTGGGTTCAAATCGCCAACTCTTCAGTTGGCAGCCGAGTGCTTAACCACTGCATCACGAGGGCTCCTGTGCTCAGGCGATAAACCAAAAACCCAAACTCGTTGCTGTTAAGTTAATTCTGATTCATAGCCACCTTACAGAAGAGAGTAGAACTGTCCCCGCCCCAGGGCTATAATCTTTACGGAAGCATACTGCCACATCTTTCTCCCAAAGAGCAGCTGGTGGGTTTGAACCACCAACCTTCCAGTTAGCAGTCACATGGTTAACCACTGCACCACCAGAGCTCATTCAGGCCAAAGTGGGGCTTAAATAATTCCATTGTTGTTGTTGTTAGTTGCTGTCGAGTCTATTCCGACTCATGGCAACCCCATGTGTGCAGAGTAGAACTGCTCCATAGGGTTTTCAAGGCTGTGACAAATCGGCAGCAAATCGCCAAGCCTGTCTTCCAAGAAGCCTCTGGATGAGTTCGAACCACCAGCCTTTCTGCTAGTAGTGGAGCACTTAGCCATTTGCACCACTTGAGCATCCTTGAATGACCCTATGATACACTTTATTCTTCAGTTATAAAGCCTTACAGTGCAGGCTCACAGTGTTTGACCTTGCTACCCAGGCTCACAGTTGGCACTTGAAGGCTCCCTATAGGACAGAGTAGAACCGCCCCATAGGGTTTCCAAGGAGCTGCTGGTGGATTCAAACTGCCAGCCTTTTGTTTAACAGCCAAGTTCTTAACCACTGTGCCACCAGGGTAGTCGAGTGAAAACCATTTGTGCCACATACGGTCCTAAGATATTG